CATGGATGTATGTGTGATTATCAGCTTTTACGAGATGACTCATGCACGTATGTGTACGAGATAATTAAGCTCATTTAAATGATAATGTATCGAAATGGAAATCTTCATTATAATTAAGGCTTCTGTAATTCCCAATGAATGAAAAACAAGACGACATTGTTTTTACTGACGTTCCGCTACTTAATGCTAATAGATTTATCAAAGTATTATATTATAAGTATTATAATTGGAAATCTTCCCTACTGATGAATTGAAACGATGAAGTGAATACACCACCATGGTGGGAGCGTGCTGATGAAGAGTCCCAAACTAGGACGAAACAGCTGTCCAGGACTCCCAGGTTTTCCAGTGGTTCCCTACTTGATGTCAGAGCATGGTGAAATCCTACAAGTGTGAATTTATCAACGTCGATAGGTCTGCGAATGACTCACACTGAGAACACGGAATTCGTCTGATCAGTCGGAATAAGTTGAACATTTGAATGACAGAATCGCGTGTAGGGGAGGAATATATACATATATATATTGATATGTATATATGTATATACATGCATATATTTATGTGCAGTTATTTGAAATATCAAAGTGAAGATGAATTTTTAAGGCAGATGGTTGAGGTGCGATTTCGCCTATTATTATTATTGTGAGACCGCCTTCTATTAACTGTAAGGTTTAGTTGTGAAGATTTCCTTGTCCTCCGTGACAATGTCTTCACTGGATTAGCCGATAAAGGCTGTGTTGAAAGAAATGAAGCGAAAAGAGAGGAGACAAAGCCCGGATTAATATTCAGTCACACTCGTGTGAATTTGCGTCCCCATAACATCGACAATCATCATTAATACTACCCAGACTACTGAATTTCTACTGACTGCTCTTCTTGGCCCACATAGTCTTAATTACATAAAGGAGCGTTCCAACTAAATCAGTATACAAATTATTGAATGAAAATGTGACTTGTTAAGGATATTGTAACTCTAATTACAACAATATTGTTGATGAGAATGTGGTATGTTGAATCGTACGATGATAGTTGTTTCACTAATTAGGCGACCAACTGAATACTATCTGCAACCGATGATCCCCTGTCTAATTGATTTCATTGAATACTTGTGGATCGTGAAGTACTTTGTGTGGAGAAATACTCTTCATTAATGAGGTCAAATTCCTGTGTATTTTGTTGATGTTCAGAAATCACACAAACATTTTCATGAAGTTGAGTCTACTTCTTTTCTACAAAACTGGAATCACGTTGCTGAAAGAGAGTAGAGAAGTGAAGAATCACACTGAATCGCATAGAAATATCAGAGAAGGAGATGGCTGTGAGATATGTTGATAGGATTCGTGGAACTGACATTGCTTCTTACATCGAATGGTAACAGTGAGAATGCTGGTTGTCACACAAATGCAAGACCACTCACAGTTCATCGTCCACTGTCTTCTACTAAAGCTCAACAATTTTCGTGAGATAATCTTCGAAGTGAGTGGTGAATAGAACTGTTCGTCTTCAGCGATTTGTGACAGCTGTTGTTGGGATGATATGGAGAAATATGAACCAATCGCAATTATAATAAGGGTGATAATTTCAGTGAAATAACGAAAGCATACATCCAGTAATTACTTGATTGATCACGATCACCATAGTAGATTCAATGCAAGCATCATCCATCTTGTGTGGCTCATAAAGAGCAGTTATGTCGTGTGTTTTTGTTCTATACTTGAACGACGCTGATCAGCTTGGAAACATCACTATCTCACTGTGTGTTTCTGAGGGAATTCCGCAGCTAACGGATGCAACGTTCGAGTCTGAATATCTTAAGATTTCCAGTAGTCAATAATTTATGCCAGTTTATAGTCACTTGCAACTCGACCGACCCATGAGCATTGGCACTTGATGTTTCACAGTGTATTTCAGTTCCCTCCAATTGGTATGCAGTTGCTCCATACTTCCATCAATCTGGGTTCTCTATGTCATGTGTGTGAATGAAGACCTGGTGAGTTTATTTCACGAGACACTGATGTCGGTCAGAGACTGTGATAATTTTCAAACCCCGCTGTCATTTCACACTTCAGTCTTTTGACAAAATTACTTCTTGATGAAATTTGCGTAATATATCTATGCGTGTTCAACGAAGATGTGTTACAAGTCCTTCTTCTTCCAGCTTCCACTGAACAACTCAGTCTACTGCCCTTGATCAATCGCGGCTTTCCTGTCTTATTCACATGAATCCGGCTATGTGACAGTCACTGTACAACGGGTAAGCCTGGTTTACACTGTAATCCAAGTGAATATGAATCACACATGAAAATCTGAGGTTTTGAAAGCAACTACGTAATCCGGAGGTAATTCTGATGTGGAATTAGTCACAGACATCTTTTTTATGTTGATTATTTTGAATTGAATTTGCACATCTATATATTTCTGAGTCATTTTTATTTTAAAATCAAGACTATATGGGATCGAAACCTATGCGTTATGTTTCTCATCTAGTATCAATTCATGGAAGGTTAAGTAAATGGATACACATAGTGGAGTATCCTTTGAGAAAACGGACTCTTGGACTCAGACAGGTCGTCATATAAAATGGATATCTTCGGAGTTTCACCGAGAAAAACACAAACGTACGGCGAAAACATGAATGTAGCCAGAAGGTGCCGAACAAACTGCTTTTTCACGAAGGTAGAATTTAGAGATGATGCCGCAGCTGAAATTTCGAAGTCCTGCTTTTCCAGATTTCTGAGGAAAGCCTCCTTTTCGTCTGAGCTACGGATCAATTTCTACACCTAGCAAATGATCGAGGAATGTGTGAAAGATAAACTGCCAATTTGAGCCACTTCAATGGGTGGAGCTAGTTATATTAGCTGCACAAGCGCATCTAAAATTATCCATCATGGTGAGAAAAAGACAATGCAACACAATTACTAGATCAATACTCGAGCACTTGGTGAACTCAAGCGACGTAGCTCCACCAGTGTCGTCTTTGAATATCCTCTACAAACTGAAGCCAAATAGTACAAAAAGCTTCAGGTTTCGGCTTTTGTGTCTGGTGGAGACGCTGGAAGTTCTTCAATACAACTCCAAACTGTGTATAAAGAAAATGTTTTGTCCAGTCTCTTATTCTACCTAGGTCTTTCCTTGTATATTTTGTATTCTTAATGATTACTTCGCTTTTGTTTCAAAAGTTTATTCGCCGCTACCAATATCGAATGTTACTATTGTACATTTTCTAACTCTCTGCACACATACTAATTTGACACTGAAATACCCTTCTACTCACTCAGTAACAATTTCAAACTTTCCAAATTTCTGACGTATTTTGGAGTGTTTATTTCAACTTTTGAACCGACTTCCAGGTGATTTTATCAATTATGTCAATCAATACTGAACTTCTAAATATATTTTCGATAAATGTAAATACGACTGTACAGCGTCTGAAGATGATTTCATCTCTAAAGGAATTTTTCTTCCCTGAATTGTCTTTCATCAACCAGATGGATAAACATTACACCTACTCTTGAGCTTTGTGAACATGAAGCAGGAATTGTGCAATACGACTGACTTGTTGTAAAGGAGGGAATATTCATTCTACCATATCACAACAAGAATATTGTGGTGATGCTGGAAATTAACCTAACCACCCAATCACTCACTCACTCAGTCAACTATTGACAGCTAAACAACACACTGATCTATTTTAGCAAATGAGAAACAAAGTAAGCACTACTATGTTGATCTACTGACACACGGATTACACAATAACACAACTCACCACCAGGAACAGTATAAAAGCTGAAGAGTAAAGCCAGAAACAACACAGGAAGAAGAGAACATGTTCAACTCAATGTACAGTCACATATCTGTGGTAATGCTGCTGGTATTTGCTGCTATAAACGAAGGTGAGTAAATATTGAAATGACTGTGCATTTGTGACTCCATTTGTTCATATTAACCTGTTTTACATTATGATGAATATTACTATTTTATCCTGTCAGTAATATGTTAGACTATTCCGTGATCACATTTCTGAAGGAGAACTGATTGTGTCTCAAACACTTCTTTCAGTATCACCTTAACACACCACTTTCCTCCGTTAAATAACAATATTTCAGTGTTGTTATTCCTCAATTTCCGAAATGGAAGGGAAGTGGAGTGAACGTTTCAGTTTTATGCTTTCAGTGACGCTGAATACTCCACCTGATGTTCTGCTAACTAGCGTGTTTTAGACATCTAAAGAAATACACGAAATACTCACATGGCTCCTCAGGTGTTTGAAATGAACAAATTCTTGCGTCGTATTTACGTGTTATTGAAGTTTCGGTTTGTGCAACAATCACTGCTCTCTTTACTTTGTCAATTTTCAAGGCCAATCGACTGAGTTAGAAATCATTGAAAAGTTGCTCTCAAAGTCTCAAGGTAAGACGATTGACTTTATATGGGTTTATAATTCGTCTTATTTTATCCTACAAAAGCTTTTGTGTGGGTACTGTTTCTCGACGATTCGTCACATTCTATCGCTTCTGAAATTCCTCTCTTGTAATTCATTCAATATATTTCCCGCTTCCTCCTTCATAGATGAATTACCCGGATTAGCTCAGACGATTATTGATAATGAAGCAGTGATTGAACAATTTCGAGGTAAACATTTATTTCGTGTGATTGATAATTTGACTTGATCTAATCGACTTTTGTATCAATACTGAGAAAGCATTAGGCTAGTTGTGATGAGATTTCTTCAAGCGCGTTTATCAAATCAAAACCACGCGAAAAATGATGAACTCATCAACACGCGTCTACCTGATTTATCAATTCACATTCACCCAAGTCGAAAACACTTCACACGTTCACGTTCATGACATTCACTTTGTTGTAAAGTGAATACAACATGACGTTGGCGTCCTCCAACTATAGGCAGTACGCACGCTGTTTTGTACATAGTAAATGTTGATTTGTATAGAGGTATCCAGTTTTATGCAATCGATCTTCACATCTCTCTCTTTTCCTAGATAAGATTTACAATGAAACTACAGGAACAGTCTACGACAACATTGATATCTGTGAGTAAATTTTATTTCAATTTCGGTAACTAACAAACTCTTTCAGATGTCGACTGCTGGAGACAATTTAACGAAAACAAATTCGGAAAATTATTATTCTCGGGTGTGTTTCAGGACTTGTTCTAACCGTATATACTACTTTTATTGACATGGTTATCAAATGAGTTTGGGGTATTGTTTTTGTATCAAAAATATTCAACATTCGGGTTAGAGACGGCAAAATTACAGCCAGAACACTTCATTGAGATCCCAAAAATGATGCAGCTACACTGTGAGGCTTGAAACACTTGTATAATGACATTACTCACTGATTCAGTGTTGAGAGGAATGTGATGGATTGAAGTTGTTGGGGTGGGGGATACTTGATCAGGGATTTTCACTTCTACTTTCCTGGACATGTTCTCGAAATCCTTCAATCTACAACCGAAATAAACGTACTTATCCTGTCCCACTGAATTTGAAACCATGCACTACATTCACGAAAATCATGCATCAACTAAAACCACTTAGGCACAGATTTCGAGTCGTGAGCAAATGATGTTTACTGGCCATTCCGATGAAAAGCAGAATTCATTCAGTCGATGAACAGAGTCATTCTACAGTTGAGTATAAAAAGGCTGACTGGAAACCAGTGTTTGTAGAGGATCATTTGGGTCTTTAAAAGTAATTTGGAGTAATAAATCTCACAGAATTGGATGTTATAAGCAGGTCAGTGTAATTGCATTGTGGTAATCAATAGAAGAGATTGATAAATCATGCTTAATTATACCATGAAATTATTCAATTGTGAAGTATATCCACAAATATTTCAGTGGATAGTTCAGTTTTAGTAATTATTCATTCGCATAATCTGTCTTTCCAGATGTTGCAAACGGACTTATGCACCAGCCTGAGGAATATGGTAAATTGAATTTGTGTCAACTGACTTCATGTGTCTGGTTGTTATCACTTGGTCTGCATTCAGTGCATAAATCTATATACTGCATTCAAGCGTTGAGGTTTTCTTTGGGTATCATGTAGTTGATTCATATTCGACTTGCATAATACTAACCCCCCCCCCGCCACAACACACAACTCATCATCCATTGCACCATCTTTCCATACACTCACAGATGACTCCTCTCAAAACAATTCCTTAATAATTGTTACATAAACAATTAATCAGAATTAATACTACCCACTGACAGTCATTCTTCCACGACACACGACGCTCATAAAAATTTCCATCATATCTTTCACTGAACCTTAATGGAAAACATTCATCAGTGTGTGTGTGTGCGCGCGTGTTTGTGTGTGACTGCACAATCTGAAACGAGAATTATCGAAATGAATTACCTAAATCCATATAGCTATTTCAGAATATATCCAATAAGAGCGTCTGAATCACTCACCATTCAGGAGTTAAATACACACATTTATCTAACACTAGTTTTCATAGATAACGAATATGAGATGATATGTTGTTTAAAACATGCATTTACATACAGGTCCCTACACAGAGGAGCATTCTCTTCATAAATGTCTCCAGGATGAAGGTGCTGTCTACTCAGGTAAGCAGTTTAGTTTAGTATTCTCTTTTCCCACTTATGCATAATAAGCATTCCTACCTAGTGTTGTCTGTTACGTCGGTGTCAATTTCAGTTTTGAACTCTCCTGATCATTTAAGGTACAAAGCAAACAATTAGGAGTGGAGATATCTTACCCAAGATGACTCATTTCATAGTGATTTGTGTGAAGTTTCGCTATTCGATATGTCTGTAGCTGCATGAGTATTTGATAATAATAATAATAATAAAATCAATGAATGTTTACCTTGTCATTGTTTCAATATCTTGTTTTTTCTTTCTATTTCTTCATTAGCTAAGTTAGAATTGCAAAAAGATCTTGACTGTGACGTTTTCAGACCGTCAATACTCGGAGGAGGTAATTCAATATTGACAACTTACACATGAAATTAATTCTGTAGGATTACTGCATCGGAAGATGTTGAAAATAAATTTCTGAATTTCACCATGTTACTTTTTGAAATTCAAATGTATTCTCACAGAAGTTTGTTTCACAGGATTTACCCACTTGTCGATCTGGTAGCATTGTCAGTGAATTGGAAGTTGACCTATCAGTGTGCTACTACCAGTGAAATATCAAGTGGAAAATCAGACTGCATTACTTTCAAGTTTCTTTTCACGCATTATATCTGTGAAGGTCATTGTTTTGAAGTCTGAAGTCTGCTAATCCTTTTGATGTAGCTGAGACTGCAGTTAATACCATGTAATGTAACACCCCTGCGCATCGAGATATACGATAGAGGTGTCAGTCCACCAACAATAATGATGAAGTTGAATTGATGCTATTTCAACACATGACGAGAAATAAGAAGCAGGTGTAGGGGTTTCTTCAGGGTGTTTTGACTGACTTTAAATCCGTTCGATGATCGACCTTCAAGTCAATGAACACGCAGACGTGTTAGTCGTCTGCTTAAACAACAACACATTAAACCAACCCACGAATTATTCAACAGTATTCTGCATGATCACATTTCACCATTTGATTTTATGATATTCAATCCTAAAATCCAGACATTATCCTACAAATTTTGAGATCCGGAGACTTTGAAGTATTACAACGAATTTTCAGCATTGAAGAGTAAAATAATAGACTCATATTACCACAGATTCCTTTATGCTAAAACCAGTAGTAAGTTCACTCTGTTTCCTTCTTGGGTTTTATTCACTCCATATATATTCGTCAACATCTATTCACAAAAATAAAGTAGAAACGATAACTTGGTACTCCGTGTAATCAGCTATCGTATTATGCCCATAACTCGTGTGGATTACGCGGGCGTTGCTCGCTTGACAATGGCTATGTATTTACAAATGAAAACAATGATATATATTTATCTTAGAATGTCGAGGTTTCCGGAAAACTCTTCCATCAATTAATAGTCGGTACACAACTTTTGTTTGTATACAGGTCTCTTCACTGAAGAATGTCAACCGACTACAGAAAACTAGGATAATCTGAAAGGTCCATTATCGGATCACTTTTCAGATAGAAATCGTCTAAACGTTTGAAGGTGTCAGTTTAGTTACACGGGGGCTAAATCACATACACACATGACTACTGCTGTCTTGTGCAGTATAACAGTTAGCATGACAATATATTAAATGTGAGAGACAGTGATGAAAGGAACTAAGTCGAGGAGAAACTGTCTGTTGTGTTCACCTCGGTGTTTATACCTGTAAGGACGACTATTCAATAAATGACAACGACAACGGGTCCTCGTCACATCACAGGATTTCGAATAACCACCACTTTCCACTCTATACCAGTGACCTACCTACACAAGAGTGTTTCCAAAATACAGGTAGTGTTTACTGATTGTGTGTGATATGTCTTTCCTCAAACAACTTGTGTATACATCAACTTATCCTATGTATTTTATTACTACCGATCGGATATTAGGAGAAGGAATTTATACAATGACGAACAGGGATAGCTCTTTTCCTGTAAAGTGCTGAAGAAAATTCATCAAACTGCCATCGAGAGGATGAAACGTAAGATTCACCTACTATTTCATACGAACTCACCACATTTTATCTTCAAAAATGTACTGTTCAGAGACACTGTCACCATGTCTTTATATATAGAAATATGCATAACTGAAAATAATATCGAATCAATGTGAATACAGTGTAATTTGCATTCTGAACACGAGTGACGTCAGTTGTGTCATTCGGTGGACCATCAATTCATTCATATCATATGAAATCATATCTAGTATTTTGAAGAGAAACAGTCAATGTATCACAGATTTGACAGTCGACAAAATCCAACCGACAACTTCTTCTCAGTTGAACACCAATTGTGGTGAAGTCGATTTGGGCCATTCCACACTTTTCCAATACACCCTCACTTACAGTCACACCGACACCCACACCCACCCACACGTTAGTGCGAATAACTGCATTCGAGATATCTGAAATATAATGAGTGGATCAGGGTGACTGGAGTCATTGACTGTCAGTCATTCTGGGTGTGGAATGATGCTCACAATAGGTGTTGTGTGTTTTTCAAGTCGAATGTTTACGCTGACTGTCGATCCTGGTCGACTTCTTCGTGTCTCTTCCAAAACTCACAACATTCGGTGTGCTTTGCTTCGTCATGAATTCAATATCGTTTAACTTCTTTTATTTTCTTTGCAGGAAGAAACCAGAGAAGAATGTGCATCTCTTACTCCTGATGCCATGGGAAACGTGTATTCTGCACCTTATTGGAATTTATTTGTTTGCAGTAGATTTCATGAACACTTTTAACTAAATAACTCATTTTCATGATAACGCTAACTGACTTTGTTCTAAATACAATTGTATTATTCAAATATTCGACTTATTCTGACTAATCAGATGAATTCAGTGTTTTCAGTCGAAGTCATTTGCATACCTATCGACGTTAACAAATTCACGTGTAACATGATGGTGTATATACTTCTTCATTTTAATTCATCATTTAGGAAGTTTTCCATTTGACAACGGCGTCTTTGAGATCAGGCTAATTACTTCTATCGTATCAGGAGTTTCAGCATTGTTTATTAGCCACCTTAATGATAATAATGTATGAAAGATTTGGAATTTGATCCACTTGAACATGATATGACTGAATGAGATTACATGCCACTTGATATCAGCGTCTCAGCACTGGGAATTCAGGTATTTTGTAGTGTTGACCGTAGTCGTAGCATTGAGGCAACATGGTGGTAGGTCAAATTGCTGGTACTAGTTACGCCAGTTATGTATTCACTAGTCCCAGGATTTCTGTAATTTCAAGGCGTAACACACTAACAACAGGATTATGAGATAATATTATCACCGAGAGATATTATCTGCGTCGTGGAGTAAGCATCTCGTTCGGATGTTTCCATCTGCATATTTAGAAGATCAATATATAAGCGATTCAGTGAAGAGACTGTTTTCAAACAGTTGACAGTCAAGCTACACACTCGTATATATACCTGTCACAAATCCACATCACACTTATTTCATGAAGGGCGATGGATATCTTGCAATATGGCCTAATTTGAGTCAAACGTTACAAACATTAAGCTTCCTAACAGCTGATCTTCTCTC